GGGGGGGGGAGGGGAGGCGGGGCTTGGGCGTGTCGGGAGCCCTTGCTCCCGCGTGGAGGGGGACCGCACACGGGCCCCGGGGCCCCGGCGTCTCCGGGCCTGGCTCTGCGGCACAGGCAAGGTCAGCAGACGCCGTCGGAGCTCCCCCAGCCCGTGGGGGCGGCTGACGTGTGAACGGACCCTGGGAGCCACTGGGTCAGAGCAGACACGGCCGTGTAGCCGGGGGAGCCTCCCGGGCACGGTAACGGCAAAGCCGAGTCGTGACGGTCAAGCAGGAGTTAGCCGCCGAGGCAGTAGGACGGGGACAGGACGTTCCGGGGGCAGGGACGAGTCACTAGAGACCCACCAGAGACCCAGGTTGTAGGGTGCTACCCAGATCCCGGCACCTCCTCCAGGAAGCCGGCCACTGTGGGCAGAGCGACTCCTTCCTGGAATCCCGAGTCCCCTTTAATCCTCATGTCCCCCGGGGGTTTGTAGCAGGGACACCACTCCGGGCAGTTCCTGCCCTGTGGGGGCTGGAGGCGCTGGAGTTGGGACCTCACAGACCAGAACCCGGAGATGTCTCTCCATCACTCGCCTGCACGGGCAGGGGCCCCCCTCACCCCACCCGGGGCCTAGCGTCATCCCTGCGCGGTGTCCCTGCTCCGTGCCGGCTGAAGGGCGGGTGCCCCAGCCCAGGGGCCGACTTCTCCCTCCCCCTCCCCACTGAATGGCCCCTCAGGGCTGGGGTGGCGCCAGAAGACCCCCACCCAGTTGGTAGCCCCCAACCCCCTTCCCCGGGGCAGCCTTGGCTGTGCACCGATGACACCTGGTGGTCACAAGTGGTCACTACAGCCTCCCGCGTCCGCTGGGTGGTTCTTGGGGAGCCTGTCGGCCGGGGCAGCGGGGGTGGGGGGGTACTGCAACGTAGCCTCACTACCTTCCAGTCTGTGTGACCCAGGCTCCGTGTGACCCAGGCTCTGTGTGGTTGGTTCTGCCTGCGAACGCTTTACTGTTCTAGAAGAGTGGAGCCCCCTGGAGGCAGGGCATAGGCTGAGGGCCAGGCACGGTCAGTTGACCAGAGTAGGATTAGCAGAGCTCCATGGGGCTCCAGTGCCCGGGATCCTAGAACCCACGAGCCTCTGACCCTGCGACCCGCATACGTGTCTATGTCCCAGGCTGGGCTCTGGGCCGGGCCCTCCCCTGTGTCGGGGCCACGGAGCCTGGCGGTAGGGCAGGACTGTGGCCAGCCTCACCTGAGCTCTTACACCCAGAGCCCTCTGTCATCTGCAATACATGCCCCTGACCCCTGGCCCATCCGAGGGGGGGGCCTGACCCGGGTCCCGTGTGACTGATTCCTAAGCAGCTCTGTACAAGAGGGGGAAACAGGCTGGGAGGCAAAAAAGGTGTCCAAGATGGGGGTCGGGGGCCGGGCCGGGGGCAGCTGCAGGCCCAGAGGTAGCTGATCTGACGCCCAGGCCCTGGGGACGGGGACCTTATCTCTCCACGGTGTCACGGGGCAGGGCTGCGGCTGAGAAGCCCAGGTCCCTGAGCCCGAGAGGCTGGGACCAGGCAGCTTGCCAGCCGCACCATGGCCGCTCTGTCGACAGCACGTCTGTCCTCACCGTGACGACGGCTTGGAAATTCCATCAGGGGCCACGGGCCGACTTCACACCGTCAGCCACGTGGCCAGGAGGGCGAGAGATTCCTCCGAGCCCCCTTTACGGGACAGGCCTGGGCAAGCGCCGCTCTAGAGGTTGGGGGGCCATGGGCATCTTTGCCAATGGTCTCCCTGAATCGAGGTCATCTGTACGCGGGGCCTCGGGGACGAAAGAACAAGGCTGGAACGGGACAGATTTGGGCGTGAATCCTGTTTGCCGCCCGCTGGCTGCTCCAGGCACAGGTGTGCACGTCCACACGCACACACATGCACACGGATACACAACTCCCAACCACCCACTTTGGTCAGCTCTTTAGTGAGGCTGTCCACTCCTCCAGGCAGCCCTCCAAGTCCACCTCAGGCTGACTCAGGTGCCACCTGGGGCTGCCACCGGCCGCCGGTCACCCCCGTGGTCGGCGTGGCCCCAGAGTCAGCCGTGGCTCCCGCCCTGCACGGGGTCCAGTGCCCGGTAGGGGCTCGGGAGTGTTTGTTGAACTGCTCTGCGTACCTGCTTTTATCCCCTCTCTGTGTGGGGGCAGGGAGGAGCCAGGGCTGCTGAACTGGGGCTTGTCCCAGTTAGAGCGGTCCGTCGGGAGGGACTGGGTGGAGGTGATGGGGGGCCGGGCACGGAGCAGCCTCTGGGGACACAGGCCGGCCAGCCCCTGCCTGCAGCCAGGGGGCGTGTTAATGTCGGGCCTCCTTCAGGACCCCTTCGACGCGGCGGGGTACTACCAGCTGGCCTTGGCAGCGGCCGTGGACCTCGGCAACAAGAAGGCCCAGATGAAGATCTACACGCGCCTGGCCACCATCTACCACAACTTCCTCCTGGACCGCGAGAAGTCCCTCTTCTTCTACCAGAAGGCCAGGACCTTCGCCACCGAGCTCAACATCCGCAGAGTCAACCTGGCCCCGGGGCGGTGCTGGGGGCGGGCGCCCTGGCTGGCCCCCGGCCCCTCGCCCTGAGGACACCTGTCTGCCCGGCTGGCCCCCGGCCCCTCGCCCTGAGGACCCCTGTCCGCCCTGGCTGGCCCCCGGCCCCTCACCCTGAGGACGCCTGTCTGCCCGGCTGGCCCCCGGCCCCTCGCCCTGAGGTCCCCTGTCTGCCCGGCTGGCCCCCGGCCCCTCGTCCTGAGGACGCCTGTCCGCCCGGCTGGCCCCCGGCCCCTCGCCCTGAGGTCCCC